GAAGGGCCCTTCCCACCCAAACCATTCTGTGATTCTATGACTCTATGATTAGACAGCGATATACGATACTCACAGTGGCAGAACCACCTAAACCTAGCAGGAAAGCTTCCTCCTGCTACAGACAAGGATGTTCCTCAAAGAAAAACCACCCGGTTCCCTTTAAGCAGTGAGAAGCTTATGCGTTGCCAAAGCCTGTGTATGGAGTGATGCAACTTCCATGTAGTTCACAAGAAGGCATTAGGGACACAGACTTTGGGGTTTTTGCTTTTTTTTTCACCGATGCAGGTCGGATATTTTGCAACCAATTGACCAAAAAGAATCATGCAGCATTATCAGTACTACATCTTGTCTGTCTGGGCAAAGGCATTCTCGGTAATGGCTGAGTTGACAGGAAAGCAAACAGCAGTCTCCTCCTCCTGGAAATTCTGAATGTGTCAGAGGAGGCGGCTAGATAAAGCCCCTTCGTGTAGCTGGTCTAACACTTCCTAGTGGGTTCAGAACCCAACCATGGAGCAACCACAGAAACATCACTCAGTCAGCATTTGTGATGCAAAACCAACCAAATAATCTGCCAGCAGGTTCCAAACTCCAAGAACATAAACTGAAAATTAGTAAATGTGAAGGCACAACCAGTCATGAGGGTCAAATGCTCCCCAGGAGAACAAACACATTTCTGCATAGATACTTTCTGTAATCACCTGCTTACTCTCTATCCTGTTGTAATAATTGGTTTTACCAATTGCTGTTAGCATACCTACTTGTCTTAATAGCTCTGCAGCCTCAGATCTTCTTGCAGGTGGGTGCAGGGGCAGGTTAAACCAACGCTATTCTTATATTTAGAAGAATACCATAGGCTTGCTTCAATAGCAAAAACTCAGCCAGTTTTATTGTTACACTGCCAACGTGCTTGTTCCAACAAGATGTTAACGCATATATTTCCCCACAAAATACTGGCACAAAACCACATCTCCTGAGCCAACACAGAGATATGTGATTTTTTTTAACTCTACAGTGGTCAAAACAAGTTATACCGATCTAAGCAGCTGTGTGTCACACCCCACCTGTATCTTTAACTGTCCTGCATCTTGTGCTTAAACTGCAACTCTATCAGAGTACACTTACACCATCCTTTATACACAAGACCATCCCGTCCTTAATAAATATATCCTTATTAGTCACTTTAACAAGACTGCACGTCCTGACCATCATTCTGACACCGTTAAGCTTGCGCAGTCAGTTCAGCCATCATCCATGAAGCCTAAGTCAGCCAATGCTGTAGCAGTTTTTATGTGAGTAACGTATGGACAAATCAACGCCTAGCTAGGCCTGCTTGTAGAGTTTGTGCTCCTGAGTTTCAACAGAATAAAGTGCAGCTTGACTCTACGGAAGCCGAGCTCCCGGCTCCCAAGTCTCTGAAGTAAACTTCCCAGCTCAGTAGAAAGCCTGCAGTTAAACTGCCCTGTAAATGAGGTGGAAAGCGGACACACCTCTGCAATGACAGGACAGGCTGTGCCATAAACACAGAAAGATTCTAAGGCAGGGAATGTCATGGCGATACAACATCTCTAGGACAAATAGATGGACTGCGGCCAAGTGAACAAAAGTCTTAAGAGAAGTATGACACGATAGCTTACATCTGTGGAAGCCCCCACTTGACCTAGAATAGTAAATTATTACTGGAAGCTCTTTATACATCTGGAAGCCATCACAAAGAGTGCAGCTCTTGCCAAAAGCATCCCAATAAACTCCATTTTGCATGGGCAACAAGTTTGAATTATTCCATCTGTGACCCAAGAAATGAAAGAGAGTTGTGGAGCGTATACAACCACTGACACTTGGCCTTTCTGCCCTCTCACCACTCAGACAGCAGCAGATTACTAGCCTTTTGCACCTCAGAGAAGTGGCTCCCAGAACCAGGACCTCCACAAATAGCCAGGAACCACAGCTGGCCAGGAAGGATTTGTCTCTTGGTAGTTTCAGTAACACCAGGGAATGTTCCTGGCACTAGAACTCAATCATGCACGCTTTCATGTTATTAAACCTGCGCCTGGTTTAACCACTCACTCTCCCAAAAGATTCCAGCATCCAGATCAGGTGTTAATATCAGCTAGGAATCATTTTTAATGAACAGTTTCCATACAGCCACCCTGCTTGAGGGAATAAGAGAGTTTAATGGTATGGAGGTGGTTAGACCATTCCAGTTGGCCTTAGGGCCACAGAACAGCTCCTGGCACTGTTTAGTTAACTAGTACAGATGTAGCTTATACGTCTGTCATGTAAATGCCAAAGTCTGAAACCCCACAGCTTTACCAATGCCATCTGGAGAGAATTTCAGCCAAATGATAGCCTGTAACAGGAGAGTATCACAGAAGTACCTCTGGGAAACTTATTTTCAAACGTGGGAGGCATAGGAAAATGAAATTAAATCTAAGACAGACTATGCATTTACTTCCCAGGACTTGTTTGTTTCAATGTTTTCAAACAAATGAAAGAATTGTCTTGGGGTACAGTGTATATCTGGATTAATTTAAAAAAACATTACCACCCTCTACAAATCTGGCCTAACACTAGTGATTTTGTTCTGCTGAATAATTTAAAGCAAAGGAATTTCTAAAAGTGAATCAATATGAAGAATTAGCTTTCTTGTTCACAGAAGCCGAAGTCAAAGATCGCTAAGACATGCTGCAGGCAAGCCCCGCGCAAGTGAGCGGTTATTATACCTCACTTGGCTACCACGGTGAGATTTGCGTCAAGCGTTTTAGAAATCTCAGTCAAGGTCTAGCTAGCTGCACTAGGCTCTCTTCATGGGTGAGAGAGAAAATGGTGGCTTCCAGAGCGTAGGCTTCAGAGCCAAACAAACCCCCATCCCCATTGCCTTTGCAGGCAAAGGCAAGAGCACGCAGAGCTTAGACTCCGATGCCCGACTTTCAGAGCTCCAGAGGAGGCTGTGGTTTGACATTCCACAGCGGTGCCACTTGCGTGAAATGTGGTTCGGTCGGATCGGTTTCCCTGCACGCACGAACAGCTTGCACTGACATCACAGAAAGGGTGGCCCGTCTGAGGGCACAAGTATGGCCCACAAATGCTGCAGCCAGAGCTGAAACAGATTTTTTTTTTTTTTTAACCAGAAAATTTTTTTATTTATTAGTTACGCTGTTACTAAAGCAAACCTCTGTCCTCAGTAGCTCAGAGATGAGCTGGAGATGTCATCTTTTCCTAAATCAAAGGCTGTTTCATAGTGTGTTCTATTTCAAATACACTATTTGCTAATTAACTTTAATTTAGCAAAAGTGACTATAAATTCTAAATCTAAATACTTCAGAAATATTTCTTCTGGAACATAATCATGACCAGAGTCTACACATTTCATTTTAGGCCTAAGATTATCTAGGTTCATGCTTACAGTTGATTTAAGGATTATTTATACTATTTACATTATCTCAAATTAGAAACAAATCCTTGGAACAATTAAATTACAACTAAAGTGTATAAAGAACTAAAAAGCTCTTTTAAGATCATTACTACAACATCTACTCTAAACATTACATGTAATGGAAATATTTTTGAAAAAAAAAAGATATACCAATAAGCACAACAGTGAAATTGATCTAAAAATAAACTCTGTGTACACAAGGTATTTGTTTTGTACAGACCCAAGCAACTAGCAAGTGATTTCTTGAAACTAATACTCTTAACACAATGGGAAAGCTTAAAAAAAAAAAAAAACAAGGGAAAATAGTAAAAATGCTGAGTTTCATGTTTTAGAAAAGAAATAGGTCATGCTTGCTGTTCTTCTGATGGGGAAACAGAAGTGTCCCTTCAAGGAGGGGGAACAAACTAAAATTGTGCAAAATCCTTTAATTGCCTAAAACTTAGACATACTATTTTAAATTATTCAGACTTTCTTAAAACTGCTTAGCTCTTACAGTGCATATTACCACCCCCGCTCCCTCCAAACCCCATACAGACTGCAACCAAAGCAGCCAGCGGGGTTTAGAAGCAAGCACTGCATTAACACGCGACACAAAACCCTGCTTTGCCAGCTCTTACTTGTTGTGGGAAACAGGTCCGTACAGAATGCTCCGTGTATCCAAAAGAAGGCCCCTCAAACACGGCTGTTGGAAGTTTTAGAACTTCTTTCAAAAACTGATCAAACTTGGTAAATATCATTAGTCCATTTGAATCTGATATTTGAGAGAAAATATCTGTAAGAAAATAACATAAAACCCTACGGTAAATACATGCTTGCTACAGAAAAGAAAAAAATTATTTCAATCTGCTTAAACCTCAAGAAATTTGTTTTATTCTGAACATTTCTTATCACTTGCTATCAAGATGAAATGTATAAATTAATGTATTCAAACGTGTTATGATATAAATCTTCCCGTTTCCTCCATCCCATCTCACCCACTCTTGAGAAAAGATTCTGCCAGCGCATTAACTGTGAGAGCAAGAAAGCAGAAGCTAGGAGGCATTATAAAAGTTACAGAACGTTACATCTTCATGTTTACGCCTTCAAAATAAAACTACATAAAATCCTTTGAGAAGTCTCCTAGAATTAAAAAAGTTGTAAGAATCACAAAGGCAAAACTCCTGGTAAATCTGGTGCACATCAACGGCATGTTGAATTTAAGTAACGCAGCATGAGCAGAGACGCAGTCGGAAAGCGGGGTGCGACGACTGCCATCTCCCAGGATAAAACACGGAAGCCATGCAGCTGAGTCGACGGGGAAGAGGAAATCTGCTCTAATTTGGTATCAGAGACGCTGCGCACGCTGAAGAGCGAGAACAGGTCTGTCCTTACACAAGCAAATGTTTATGACGAGATGAGGTAAGCTTTTTAATTAGCTATGTGAGGCTAAATATATTTCTAAAACCGAAAGAAGGATGGAGCAAGGTGTTCAGCAATCTTGTGTACGTATGGAAAAAGAGAGGGAGGGAGGGAGGTCCCAGGAGGCGGCAGGGAGGAGGGCAGTTTTGCCGGTACTTCCACGCCGCGCTCCTAGCTACGGGCATCTCCCGTACGGGATCTCCTCCATCCCCTTCCTGCACCAGGCTCAACTCCTCCAACCCCTCTGCTCCAGCCATTCCACGTGACCAACCCAAAGCTCCCAGCTCTCGTGTCTCGGGAAAGGTAGAAGTATCGGAGAAGGTGTATAGATAGCATTATAAGAAAATGATGGCATATAAAATATTAGGACAGCTGCATGCAGATAAAGCAGAACCGTCCTGGGATCGAAAATCTCTTTGGAAAAGACAACTCTCGCAAACAGAACTGCGTCTCCGATATACTTGCAGAATCAGATTACTCTGTAAAGGAAGATTTCTCTAATAAGAGCACTAACATTAGTAAGACCTAAAATTTTCCAAGATGTGACAGATACCAGAATTCTCCACTAAACAGCCACTGAGTCATCTATGAGGTTATTTAAGACACCATCAGTAATTAAACATCAAAAAGGATATGTTGACAGAAAATAAGCTTCATTTAACTGATCAAAACTAGGTCCATTAAAAAAAGACTATTTCAGAAAGGCATATTTCTAGTAAACTAGAGAAATTATTCCAATCTCCTGAATGAACGAGCTCATGAAGAAGCCTACAATATCTAAGTTAAGGGTGATAAAGCTGTCTGGAATTTATATCACCAGCTAAACAGACAAGCTTGAAGTGAAGGTCCAAAGCCCTTGTTAAATAACCTTCTAAGGCATATTAGGAATAACAGGGGAGAAAAAAAGGGGCAGGGCGGGGAAGATAAATGGGGTCTTGGGGGAATGCTGTATTTTAGAAAATTAAGGCAAGCAAAAAAATTAAATTTTACCTGAAAATTGAATGGGGAAGAAAAGTCAAGGTCAAAATGCACACAAATGAAAACTGTGGAAACAACTAAAAATAATTAGAGCGCCAAACTTCCAGAACCCTAATCCATTCTAGATCAGAATCACTCCGGAACTGGCACATGCACAAAACTGAAGGTCTCGTAATAAATCTGTCAATGTGGGACTGGTAGAACATGACTGGAACATGACAGTACTTGTATTTAAAAGACAGACAGAAATCTTCTGGGTAAATACAGTCCATTAATCTGAACTCAACAGTATGCAAGATCTAAATGACTTTAAGGAGAAAGTTAATTAAAGCTATGGAAATAAATTGAAAATTAGATAAAATAGAACAGGCTATATCAAGGGTAAATTAAAAAAAGAAAAAAAAACCCACCAAACCAAACCCCACTAACCTATATCTTGCAGTCATTAAAAAATGGTTTTATAGTCAAAGTAAAGTTGAATTCATTTACGTGGGAAACTTCCACATGGGAAATTACCAGTGAAATTGGAAAAGATAAAGATTAGTAGGATATAATTATAGTCATCTACCCTTTTAAAGGGCAGTAAATTACCCTCAAAGAGAAAACCTCAAGCTAAACAGCGGCTAACAGCATAATTTCTCAAGAGCTCACCTCAGGGTCACAACAGGCGCATGCTAATAGAGTTTCCTGATGACAAGGTATTATAGTTTAATTCCCATGTAAAATTTCAGTTCAATGCTACTATGCTATAAACATTTTTTTTTTTAAAGCAGAGGAAATAAAAAATTTAGAACTTCAAAAAAACCACTGCTCAGTCCCCAAAACACCAACGTACAATGGTACTTGTGCAACTCGCGATTTCCTTTTTTCAAATGCCTGTAGTAAAACTTTTACATTAAGAACAGAGCTCATAATATCACCTGTTAAACCTGCCCAACAGTTCCCTCGAGAGCCTCTTTTCAGTTGCTTATAACTGCCAAAATTGGCTGTTCTGTGTTTTCCAATCAAGGCATTTGCCTGATGCTTTGTACCGTTTCAGCTGAAGGCTCTACCATTTCTCCGAGTAAGTTAAAAACAAAGCAACAAAAACTGGCACCCTCATTTTCTAGGGTCTTGACCTTGAGCGTATCCTGCGTCTCACAATTCCTATGAAGTTGTCAATTTTTATTGTACAAATTCATAAAATATTTATTAAATACTAGGTTTAATATCAGTAAAAGCCAAGAAAACAAATTTAACAGATGAATTAGTTTGACTGTGCTTGTGTGTGTGCATGCAAGTTTTTCTGGCATTAATCCAAAGTATGTATTAAGGTCAAAAGGACAATCCAAGGAAATACAGGCCAGTCGGCCCCACTTCGGTTCCTGGGAAAATCATGGAGCAGATCTTCTTGGCACACATTCCCGGGCACATGAAAGAAAAGGGGACTGGGATCCATCAGTATGGATCTACTGAGGGTAAATCGTACCTGACCAGCTCGACTGTCTTCCGTGATGACTGAATTTGTAGGTATCATTCACCTCAAGTCGAGCAAGGCTTTTTACTTTTTCTCCCCACAATATTCCAGTACCCAGGCTGGAATGTCACAGGCTGCACGGGTGAACAGCCAGATGGGGAAGTAGCTGGTTGGATGATCAGGCTTGGAGGGTAGTGGATAATGGGTCAAACTCTAAGTGGAGACCAATACCAAGTGCGCTACTGCTGGAACGTGTCCTGGGACACGTCCCGCTCAACATGCCTACTGATGATCCGGGAGAGGTGCCAGAGTGCGCTCTCATCGAGTTCACAGGTGATGCCAAAGTGGGGGGACCAGGTGATACCCCTGAGGGCAAGGGCTGCCACCCAGCAGGACCCAGACTGGCTGGAGCTGTATGAAATTCAAAAAGGACAAATGCAAAGTCCTGCCCTTGGGAAGGAAGAGACTCTGGCAGTGATCCAGGCTGGGGACTGCCTGGCTGGGGAGCAGCTCTGCTGGAAAGGTCCTTGTGGGTTCCAAGGTCACAAGCTGAACAGGAGCCAGCAGCGCACTCTGGCAGCAAAGGTGGCCAATGGCATCCTGGGCTGTACGGACAGGAGCTCAGCTAGTAGAGGGAAGTGACCATCCTCCTCCACTCAGCATTTGTTAGACTTCCTCTAGGTACTGTGTCCAGCTTTGGGACCCCGCAGAGTCAGAGAATTGTTGAGAATCACAGCATATGAAAGACAGAGTATGAAAGACAAACTGAATCGAGCTCTGTAGAGGGCTACAAGGATGGTCAGCATGCTGGAGCACTTATTCTGTGAGGACAGGTTGAGGAAACAGCAGTTGTTCAGCCTGGAGAAGAGAAGACACTGAGGATACCCAATAAAACCACCCAAGCACCTACAAGGAGATTATGAAGATGCTTTTGGAGGAAAATTTAGTGATTAGGGTTTGAGAGCTAGGTATCAGAGAGGTCATAAGTCTGGGACAGATACTGCAGAGACCAGAGGATCTAAGAGGCTCCAAGGACCAGCTACGAGAGAGATGAGCATCTAAGGCCAGTCACTGGAGGGATCCATGTTGTACAGGCACATGCATATGTGTATGTATTTATGCCACCAACATACTTGCATCCCACTCAGGCCAAGGGGGGAACAGAACCAGGTCGCTGGCGCTGTTCGTGTTCAGATGGGTGTTTTCTGTCCGTGTTGATCCATGTGGCTGAGTGCGTGTGTTCCTACCGGGAACGCGTGCCCACCCTCACCACTGGTGGACCAGGGACATGACACTGCTGCAGCCTTTCCTCTATCAGGTCAGATGTTGTGGCAACTCCTAACATGTGTTATAAACAAATGAGATGTAAGCAAGCCTGGATAAAATCATGCACTGAGCTTGTTCAGTTTGAATAGATGTGATACCAAAACAAACCACATATTATTATTACTACTACTACTTTGGTCCACTGATTAGGACCAAAACAAGTAACTCCCCTTTCATCCCCACTCCTCCAAAAACCAAAATACCCTCGCCCCAAAATCAAAACTCCACAATCAGGCTAATTTATCTACAGCAGATTAACTTTCAGGACCTTTATTATGTGAAACCTAGTATTTAGCATACCTTATTGTATGAATTTTTAGGCTGAACTGCGGTAAGCACTGAAGGCTTATCAGAGCAAAGATGGCGAGACGAAAAAAGGAGCTAGTGAGGCAAGGGAGCCAAGGAGCACCACACAGGTAGAACCAGTCATTAGAGAAGTCAGACAGCCCTTAAAATGAGCAGGGCAGAGTCTTGATTTACTTGAAGTTCTGTTTGCAATTTACTTGCAGAAATGACATGGAAGGAAGCGCTAATTACTTCACAATGAATCTACTTGAATGCCAAAATGAAGTAATCTGAATCCCCAAAATTTGACATTTTTATATGCCATTTCTTGGGCTTAAAAGGCTATGACAAAAACCATAAAGTCAATAGCAGTAGGCTGGGTTTACAACTCCTACCTTGCACACCACGCAAAGGAACTCCTTTGCAAAGAGTGTCATGTCACAGGAAATGATCTTTTGCAGAGACAGCAAAGTGGTGGTGTTGAACAACTCCCATTTCATATGTGCTGTCAGACGCTGTATGGACTGAAAACCACTCCATTTGTTCACATTTTCAGAATTTAAAAAAATAAGCCTGTACATATGCAAGTACAGAGACCAAGTTACTATCATTCATATAACTTATGAGATGGGGGGGGGGGGGGGGGGGGGGAATATTTCAGTCAAAGCCTCGGGAGCTGACAGCCTGTTTAGGAACGGGAGTGGAGGCAGTGCAGGAGTGGGGGTGGAATCAGGGGAACAAGAAAACTGGGAACAGAAGTTCAGTGATGAAATGGGTCAGTAATCAGAAAGACAGGTGGGAAAGACAGGAAAGGGAAAAAAAACCAAGACAGCATATTCGTAACGATCAGAAGAAATAAAGAATATGAGAACAGCTGAGGCAGATCAGATCAAAAGTCTGTTTATCCCAACAGCAGATGGCTCAGGCAAGCACGTTCCCCAGAACATTCCTCCACTCGCTGAGAGTATCTTTGCGTTCAGCAGCCTTTGATGAATTTGCCTTCAGTGAAATTGGTTCAAGGAGTAATCAAGTGGTGTAAGCGTTTGATACCAACAACATCCTTTGCTAAGGTTTAAAGTAGTATTGGTTTTTGTTGTTTCAATTGTCACTGCTAACTTCAGTTACTGCCCTTTAGTTCTTGAACTGGAAGGGGAAAGGAACAGCTGCTTCCTATTCACCACTAACACATTGCTCATCATTTCATAGAACACTATCCTTTCAACACCATTTTTTCCAGGTTGAAGAATCCTGCTCTGTCTTGACATTCTTTGTACAGAAAGCCTTCTCTACCTTTGATGATCTTTGCTGTTCTTCTCAGAAAAGATGTATCGGAACTGGAAAGGGCAGAGTACCAGACGAGGGTACTAGAGCAGCACTCATTCAGAGCATAAAGACGCCATGGATTTATACAGTGCCTGTACCTCTCCACATCCTTCCCCTCTGTAACATTTCATATGGGTTTTAGCCATTACTAAACAGTGTGTCAACACCTTCACAGAAGCATAGCTCCGAGATCTCTCATCTGAGCAACAGCTTCCTTAGCCCACCTTTCTGTGCATCACAGTAGGATTACACTTCACTCCTCCAGCATGCACCGCTTTACGTACATTCACACTGAATCGCACCCACCATTTTATTTCACAGTTCCTCAGCATTGTCAGATGATACTACAACTCTTCAGTCTATTTTAGCTTTTACTACGCTGATTTACTTTGTATTGAATTGTCACCTTCCACTGTATTTTTCCAGATCATTTATGACAGTGTTGAAAACAGTTTAGGTCCAGCACTATCTACCAATCTCAATACACAAAAAGGACCTTTACTGCTTTTCTTTGGTTCCTTTTAGCCAACCTTCTACCCGTGCGAAGACCCCACCTTTCATCAAATTTTTAAATGTCTTTAAGCATTTGATAAGGGACCTTCTTGAATGTTTTTCAGAAATCCAAGAAGTCTGTATCAGCCAGAACTCCCTTGTCCCTCTTTCCGCAACCGCCCCACCCGCCTCTTCCCCCCCCCCCTTTAATAATGTCCTGGGGTTTTATAAAGCATCCCTTCACAAAAACCATTTCCCCCAACAACAAAATCTCATTTATCCATGCATCAGCTAATTCTATTCTTTGTTACTCACAGCTTGCCCAGAATGTGTGTCAGGTACACAGGCCTGCAGCTCCCCACATCTCCCCTCCCAAACTTCACACGACATTTTCTTCTTTCCATTCCCTTGCCCCTTAGAAAGTCTTCAGAAAGACAGGTAACCAGCAGTTAATAGTTCAGCTATTTTATTACTTTTCTTGAGTTCTGGCGATACTCAGAAACTTATTCTGCTAACAATACGATACATCTCCGCTCTTCTCAGAAGGTTTACAAGATCCTACTGTCCTGACTCTCAGATTTTCTCCCACATTCCACAGAAAGCTGTCCTTTGACCTTGTTTGAAAAGTCAACAGCCTAAGTCTATCCTGGTTTAGAGAAAGCTTTTGCCTCCTGCACAGATTTCCTATCCTACTAAAAATCTCAATTCCAAATTAGCCAAAATCCCCCTTTCCTGGACAATTTTGATAATCACACACCAAGACTCTACCTCTGTGTCTAGCCTTGCACATGGCACTGTGAGCATTTTAGAGAATAAGCGAGCTGGTTCCAGTCTTTAACTTCCTCTCCACCCAAGCAGAGACAACAACGAGCACATGAGGGGACAGAGGAGCATCCAAAAGTGGCACAGGAGTGTCCCAGCAGATGGTGCATGTGGAGAAAGTGCCATGACCTTACAAAGCAGTGGCAAATCAGCATTATTGTTACAGTTAAAGAAAATTTTTTTGCGCAGTTGATTCATAAGATATTATACCTGACAGAACAACAAAAAAACCCTCACCAAAACCAGGTTTTACATAGGCGTGGCCAAGAATTAGTGCTGTCATAAGGACTAGCCCAGAAACATCAAATGGTGGGAAGTCCGTGTGAGCGACATACTGAAAAGGCAAGGAGAGGAACTGAGTTTGAACACTGAATTAAAAAAAAAAAAAAAAAAGACAGAAGTGCTGCTGTCCAAAACACGTCAAATACGAAGTCGCATGCTCCTTGAAAATGATGCTCCACATCCAAACAGAAGTGCACTGAGAAAAGAGGGACAGCAGATGCTGGAGGAAAGAACCCAGAAGTACAATGCAAACTAGAGGTCAGCTGGTGAGATACAAGAAAGAATAAGTAAAAGGCATGACAACCAGAATATGACAAAGCTATAAGCAGCAGCACTATTCACTGAAGGTAGTCAAAAGCCTTTCCTCCAACATGTATCAATATCAGTTAAGAATTTTATAAAGAAGAAAGTTACAGTGGCAAAGGAAACAGAGCCAATAGAATAAGAAAAAGGAAAAAGGAAGCTTCAAATGCTATGAAGAAAAGCAGACATTATGAAAAGACAAAGGAGAGAGCAAGCAGTACATTAAATGCACAAATTTTAAGTTTTAAGACTAGATATACCTGTTAAATAGGACTATTAACTTAAGTGTCCTTAAAGTGAAAGCATCTTAACTAGCTACCTTTTGAGTCAGTAACTGGAGGCTTAATATAACTTCTAGAACGTTATCTAGGTCTTTGAAAACTTCAAAAGTTTACTGATTCCTGTAACATTTAATTCCAGTGGTTAATTGCCTTTTCCACTAAAAGGTCACACTGCCATTTTCTTCATGTGTTTAAGTATTGTCTTTCTAATTCTAGAAATAAGGCTCCTTTTCTGTCCCAGGCCTGTACTGAACGGCTCATTTACTGTAACCTCCTCAAATCTTATCCTAATTAAATCCAAAATGTAATCTTTTACTGAGGAGATATAGTCTCTGTCTTTTTCCTCCAGTGTTTGATCTTATGTATTTTACAGAGGTAATGCATCTGTTAAAAACACTGAAAAGGTCTTAAATATCCTCTGTCATATAGGCCTGTCCCCTTTATTTAACACTAATCTTTAGTCACCTGCAGCTTTGTTTTTAATCGGAGAGTTTTACAGTTACTACCAGATAAAAAAACCTGGAATTTCCTGGTACTGAGACATGTGCAGACTTAATATTAATACATGCATGCAATCATTTCTCACTACCTATTTTTCAGACCTTGCCATGTAGTTTAATTCAGCGCACTAGTATTTCACATTGCTAGTTTTAAAGAAAATATAATAAATAAGCTTAATGATGTAGAAGAGTCTAAAGAATTATTTACAGTGAATGACAACCATGGAGATCAGAAGAAATGAATTATTACGAGATAACTTTCATAAACGGAATTTTGGGTGAGGTGAAAATGATAAGACCTGACCAGTAAAATCTAGCACTGACAGTAAGATTTAACTCCCCAACTTTTCAGGGTGGAAATGAAAAGAAAAAAAACACCTGTAACAACAGTACGCCTTGCCACTAAGAAAGATAGAAGAACAAGAATTACTACTAAAGGACAAAACCAATGTTTATGGATATCACTGATTCTCTACAGATACAGCAGAAGGCTCATGGAGACCAGAAAAAAAAAAGAAGCAAGATTGATGAAAAGAGAATAATAAAAAGGAGAGTTAGAAAATAAGAACTGAGAAGCTGGAATTACAGAATGCGAAGATGCAGACAGTGCCTCAGGTGAAGCAGGTGTACAGAAGCCCCCCTACCATCCTCAGAACCGGGGAAATGGCAACAAATTCGACATTACTATCGGAAAAATCAGACCTGAAGTTTTACATTTAAAGAAGTGCCCAAGCATTTCAAAGCACACAAATGTACATGTAAAGCCTACTCAGTACAAACCCAGTATGTTGTATGGCCAGCAGATGGCATGTGTAACAAAAACATTAACGCAGCAAGCTTCATTTCGTTTCAGTATAAGGATAGCTGAATAAGCAAAAAAGTTAGCTTTCAGAACTTAATACAATAAAACATGTGGCCAGTAATGGAAACAAAATATTTCATAAAATGGTTTGATTTGCTTGAAAATACTTACATCTGAGTTTGTCCAGTATTTTACCGCCACACATTGTCGCTAACATAGCTTTCACTGAAAATACCGTCAACTTCCCATGGCCCTCGCTGTGGAAAAAAAATTACATGGTAAGGAATTACTACATAGAATGATAAGCAAGAAAAATACTTGAGGCCTAGGAAGGAAATGCATAAATGCCCTCCATTAACTACTAAGATCTGCCAAAACTATTTAATATAACATTAAAACAGTGATAACACTAGCATTTTTAATATATTGGAAGTGTTAACAAGTGTCTAATCACAAATCAAATTTTCTTGCAGAATTAGGAAAAATGCACAGCTAAAGAGACTGTCATTTGTCTTGTTCATCCCATAACTGTCCTATAAAAAAGTAACATGGTAATTAATTTTTTTCCATTAAAATACATTTGTTCACTGCAAAACATCTCATTTTTTCCTCTGCTACCCCTTGTTAGTTGCTTTAAATTTTTACTCCTTGATTTAAACTCTGATGTTGAAATACACATTTTATTCTAAAAACAGTACGGGAATCGACAGCTAAGGGAGAAGTTGTACGATATCCTGAATATACCACGTAGCACAGGAATAACGTGAACAACGTTTTATTCTAATTTAAGTCAAAAAAGCTGCTGTGCTATCAGAACAGATGGCACATTTGGGGAACCATTTTCTAATATCAGCAAGAGAAAATGAATTTGCCTCTATGGAAAGTATGAAAAAGCCCATTCAGCACGGCATGATATGTAGAAACAGCTATGTGTATTATTCCTGCTACCAGAAAGAAAGAGAAGGATGGAACTACGAGGGAAGCAAGTCACCAGGAAGATGGAAGGCGGCTTGCTGGGTTAAAGCACAGCACGGCTGATATCCGTAAGAGCTTCTCCCAGCTTCGTGCTGGCCCAGAAGGCACGCATCCCGCCTCCCTGCCTCCGGATCTCTCTATCACCGTTCATAGCAATAAAGACAGGAGTCGGAGAGCTTCCAACACGCGACAGTAGACAGCCACAGTGTGGCGATCTCGGTGTAAATCCACTGTTACTGTGAAGTTGGTAGAACATTAGGTTAGCAGTGCATAGGGCAAAAGAAATGTGTGTAAACATGGGTAAAAGCTGTTGGACTTGTGAGCGACTTACTGCCAAACAGAAACGTACAGTCATTATCCTTAACTATAAACAGTGGTACAGACTGATAAGCCACCAAGAAAGGTAAAGTCACATATAAAAGGAGAAAAAGAATTAAAATATGTTCAACTAACTGTAATTAAATGTATTGGGCAGATAATTTGTACTGTCATGGGAAATACGATGACGGGGAAAATACACGACTGAGCATTAGAAGATATCTAGAAAAACTCTAGAACACTTCTCAGTGGAAAAAAGATGCTTGTTTAACATTTGCGCTTGGAAGACTAGCACTTGGGAAGTGTTAAGAGTAAAATTATTTGAAGTCAGTATTGGCTTAGAGTATTGAAGTAGTGACAAGGTCTGATGTCAGTGACAGACGAGCAACCAGATGGAGACATCAGGAAGCAACCAAATAACCTTTTTGTCCCCCTCCTACATTCAGAGTTAATATGCAAGTATCTTCCGGTAACACACACTCCATGGTGAGGTAAAGGCTCTCAACCTTTCTCAGACTGAGAATTATCTGAAATATAATATACTATTTCTCCAGTACAGACTCAGAGTATCTTTCAAATATTCCCTCTACAAAAGAGAGGCAATGTCTCCTAGAGCTAAACCACAGGAAGATCTGTGAAGAGGAATGGTGACTCAAAGGCCATCACTGTGGTGATATCCAGTACCCTTTTAACCACTGTTTAAAGAAACTAAACAAAGGGAGAAAACTAACCACATTAGATATTTATTTCAAGCTATATAAAGGCTATAAAGGTAGCAACAAGGTAAATCTCAACTGTCCTGCTTTGTTTCTGTCTTTTCTCTTAAACAGCTTTCTCAATGGAGTAAGTTGGCACTCTCTCTCTGTGTAAAAAAAAAAAAAAATTAAGATTTGACTACATCTGAAATTGGTTGTCTGAAAAGTTCATCGTCTTCAAGCCTTGACCTCCAATTTTATCTGAGCAAATCTTACTAGCTAATTCAAATTTCCATAAGTTACAGTCTCACCCCCCTCCCCTTTCTCTTTTTAATAGACACTCATTTTCTCTCAAAAGAGAGTTCAGCTTTGAATTAATTTCCAGAAAAAACAGGTGACTAAAGCCATCAATATCTCCACGTGGATACAATCTTATCCTTGGAAAGGTATCCTACAGCCTTCAGATATTAGGCCTGCCTCTGCTGACATTCTGTTTATTAATCAAGAAAAACCCCAAACTACCCCCTGCAATCTGGTAGAGGTGCAGTTATTAAGCAACTTGCCAAAACCTATTTTTGTACCAATGCTATTCAATCTGCTGAATTCCCTATCAAAAGGAAAAAGGACAAAACTTTCCGTATGATTTTGAAACTCCTATAACAATCAGGAGTTCTCAGGACTGGAAACAGAACTGGGGGGACTTGTTTAAACAAGACTGGGCCTGTGTACATGGAGCTTCTTCCAGTTGTCTGAAGAAAGCCTCATCCTCCCTCATCCTCTACGTCTTCCTAACCAGGCGGGCCGTAGCAGCTGCCCACAGCAACGATGTCCGTGTCAGTCCGCCCACTAATCCTGCCTCAACCCCCCAGCCGGCTCATCACCCGTCCCCAGGGAGAGCTCCGTGCCCTCCAGCCGCTCTCTCACGTCCGGGCCAACTCCCCCTCCTCGCTGGCCCTCCTCAAGGACCTGCTGCAGCACTCCAGTTGTGCCAGCTCTCCCACCGCGTCCCCTCTAGAGGAGTCAGGCCTCCGATTCCTCCCGTTTGCTCCCCATGCTGCACGCAAGGCTGTGCAGCCACTTCAGGGAGGCACCCGGTCATGCTGATTTCCCAGAAGAGGTACGAGAGCTTTCCGCATAATGCCGATCCGTAGGCATTTCCTTATGTATACACACATGCCCCTGCCAGCTCTGCTGTGCTGATTACGAGGTTCCTCCTAATCGCATCTCTCCGCACTTTGCTTGCCAACTCATTTGTTTGTTGGTCATCGTCTCCCTGCCCCTTATTGCACGCTGCTTTATTACCAGCACACAGTGTGGTTCGATACCTACAATTTAAAAAGAAAAAAGGAGTTGGAGCAACTAAACCCACCGCCAAATTAAATGCAATGTCTAGAAATGATGAAATAAAAACCTGACTGCTCTGAAACACTCAAATGGGGTCAGGGAATGAGCCGTTACTCTGGGGTGCCAGTAACGTGTCTGGGACTTTGGAAAGCCATGAGAGGCTATCGGGAAAAAACAGACCAGGAACAAACTGGCAAACACCCACGCAAAGCTCTGTGGAAGAAAGCAGCGAAGAACATCATACCAAAGCTGTTCCTCCTCACAACTCACCACTGACGCAGTACGAGCCCTCATTTCTGCACCACGATCAGTGGTGTTCTACAGGTCCCAGTGAAGTGTTTGTTGGGAGCGGTTTTCATACTTACCTAACATAAGCTCTAACTCAAATATTTCCACGGGGAAGACGCTAGTCAAATCTTTGATTCCTGTTTGGTGGAATGCTAACGACTTTGTGATGTTACCACCAGCACCACCTTGTAAGAAGCTACTGGATTATGTGCATTCAAGCAACCATACAGCTACCCCAGTGATGCAATTCCAGCGCAGATGGGTACTTTTTTTTAAAAAAAAAAAATATGTCTGCCATGTTAACGAACTCCTGGAGAGGGAGCCTCAGCCCTGCCTCTCCTCTTATTCTTGGTTCTCCCATTGCACAACGCAGCCCAGCATCCCAGCTCCTCTCTCAATCCTAAGTGCCAGATGGAGGAAGCTAAAGAGAAGCTGTTGCTCTGTGCTGGGATCAAGCGTGCTGCTTGGGTTGCAGAAGAGGCAGAACATGCAGGGCTGGGGGCAGTGGGGGAGAAAAACGTATCTCTAACTAAAGCCTCAATCTTTCGAGCCAGTCCCCCAAACCACAACCATTTCTATTTTTAACTTCTGTATTTCTAGTGTGATCTGTCTCAGAATAACTAAACCCATCAGCTAACCCTTACAACTTGTCTCACAACTAACACCAAATCAGAACTAAACAGGAAAATACATGTTTGATTCTGTTGTCATAGCAGTCTTCCTGCTCTGAGCTTTGTGTTATTTTTATCTGTCCTTAGTGAGATAGGGATTGTTCTGAACTCTTGGACTTTTCTGGAGGGAAAGCTAGCTTCTGTTTGGTGACAATAAGAAGTCGTCACATTAGGAAAGGATCAAAGTTTGGACATTACAAACAGAACAACTATTTGGCATATTCAGTGCTGCAGATTGTCTTGGGTAAGACTCCTCCATCTCTGTGACAGCTTCCTGGCCACAAGCAGTTCTCTACTGCTAGAAGAGAAGGCAAAAGCAGAAGAAAGATAAGACTGAAATAATAGCTGACTCTGAGAAAGATAAGACAAAAAGTAAGAAGTGCTAAACAACAGTGAAAGATTTGCAGTTGCTACTCAGAGGACCCAGAGAGACACATCTACTCAAGAAGATTAGCAGACCAAACCCTGAAGAAAGAGGCTGTGAAAGAAACTCATAAAACTGGAGACAAGGAAATGCCTTGACAGTACCCTGGACAAGAAATCAAGCTCCTCCCAGCCAAGAAATGAGAATTAGCCTTTATGGGGTCACAGCATGTTAGAATAGGATCCAAGCTGACTGTCAAAACAATGTAGCATTATAAAATGGTCTTGTTGATCAAGACTCAATAAAACACTTTCGCTTTTTAAAACAATGCTATACCACCATGAGGTTAACATTATGTTCTACCACATTCTGCAGAACACGGTTTCACTTCATCTTCAGTTCAGATACACGGCTTACAGCAGTCTGCAAGTTCCAGAAGGCACTAACTCATCTGTCTTACGAAAGCAATTTTTAAGACAAAGCATTGCTGCTGTGGCAATGTAAATCTCTGCAGACACTACTATGATATTAAATACGTGTGTGTGTGTATGTGCAACACACAATTTCATGAACTTGAGAAATAGCATGCGGACAGTTTGCCAGAGACTCATGCAGTTGTTGGCTGCATTCAGCTAACTAAAAGAGAAAATTAGTTTAAGAATACAACTAGAGGAGTTACTAGCCTGTCATATGCTGCTATCATGAAGTTGAGGAGGAGGCTGATGGATTGCTCTACACTGATTTGGTGAGTAGAAGGAAGGCGTTTGTTTAGCTGGTAGTAGATGGATGAAATGATTGTTTCTAGTCGAGACACGTTGATCTCTGTGTTATGATCCAAAGTGTTAAGGCCATTATCTCGGAAGGCTTCAATCATATTCCAGATATCAACAAGATGAACTAAAAATAAAGGAAAAAAAATTAACTTCTATTCTGTAATGCATGCAAGCTTACTTTTATGGTACTGTTTCTGAATACTATGTTAGCTTTTATTTTGGAATGAACAGTTACTTATTTGTAATTTGTATTCAAAGTGAGAGACAGACTCTTGATATTCATACTCCTAGTTCGTGTCAGCTACTTTAAAGTAACAAAGCAGTGCCCAGACATCTTGCGTGCCTTTTACTCCACCCTTCAGCATCTGGGTGCTCTGACAGAAAAACTACATAAAGGAGAAAAGCGATCTTCGATCATCATGCAGTGTGTTTTAGCAGAGTTAGATATTTTCATTTGAGAAAGACATCAGCCATATTCTAAATCCACTACAAACTGGTTACAACAATTTTGAACATCTTCATGCTGACTAGTAGTTGAGTATCGAAGGAGGAACTTGATGTTCCAGTTAAACTGTGACTGTTTCCAGTTGATCCAGTTGCCAAGTCCAAAGCATAATGCTTTGTAAACATAGGTCTAGGGCTCCAAAGCGTTTCCCTAAATTACCCTGCCGTATCTTAGCGCATATCTAAGAAGTGTTAACAACGTAGAGGAAAAAGTTTTCCAAAACCACAGTAAGCGATCTGCAGAACCACATTAAATAGTATTTTTAAATGTTTCAAAGCTTGAAAGGTATGCATGATAGTGGGAGAAGACATCTAAGGATCAACAGCGATCCATCAGTCCAAACTGAACATGATCCAATAGTTACAAAGGACAGACTCACTTGCTAACTTCACAACTTTTGTTACCTCCCTTAATACAAAAAAGGGTTTGAAGTAAGCATGTGATCTTTAACATTTCTTACATAAAACTCATCTTTATATTTCTCACATAAAAGCCACACAATGATAAAAGCCAAGCTACCTATTCACACCAAGCACCTGCCCCTGGATCACCCTGTGGCCCAGACAAAGATCACAAAGGCACAGCCTCATCTATACGTACACGTGTGGTAAAGGTTACTCAAGGCATATGCATGGCATCAGTGAATTGGGCCCAAAGCGTGCCATGTACTGTAACTAGCATTTCTTAATACCTCTCTACAGATTAAGAGAGGTTTTTAATTCAAAAGCATGAATTAGAGACAAGAACTAACACTTTCCCAGCGGAATGAAAAAGTTGTAAGCCATCCATCAAACTGAAGGCGCTGCGGGTACTGCCACAGCAGCCCTAAGAGACACGCACCCCTCGGGGTCAGCTGCGCGGTGGAGGAGCTACAATTTGCAGCGTGCAGTTGCACGTGTCCTCTGCAGGACCCCTCAGCCGCTCTCCTGCCCTCCTCCACACCAGACACATGCTAATTCCACTCCACTGCGAGGAGGGACCTAGTCCTGCGTACATCAGTCTGTTCCGCTTTTTGCTTTGCCCAATTCTACACTGGCAGCAGAATGCAAAGCAGTATCACCTATCCACCCTCGGATTAATCTTTGCTTTGGTGAGCTATCCAAGGTCAAAGGACCACGGAAGAGAATGAGAAAACTTACACTGACTAATATGGTATGAACTTGAAGAATTCTTTATGGTTGCTGCATTTCATATATGCCACCACGATCAGATCCAGACACTTTCACGCTAGTGACTGTATTACGCTTCACCACACTCATACCTGTGCCTAGCTGTCGGGTGGTTTGTGGTACACCGTGATGGGACAGGAGCTCAAATAGCTTGAGACTGCCTGCATCCAACACTTAGGGCAACTGAATACATCATGCTGGCCCACATATTTTAAATTTTTCAAACATTAAAGAATAAAACTGAAGATATTATAGAGTATTGGACAAAGATCACTGCCTCTTTTTAATTATATATTTATTCTGTTTAGTTTAAGTAACAACTACCATTGTCTGATCAACTGTTTGCTTACTCTTGCCATACTTAAAATTCACATGGGTAGAGTATTTGAAACAGTCATGCATGAGAAATTTTTGAAGATAAAGAGTAATAATAACTTACGATTACATCTTTTTTGTACAAACCGCAGTTTACAGGCTGTTCGATACGTTGAAAGTCTGATGACATCAAAATTCTGTGCTCCTATGAATAAAAAAAAGTTTGTGTTTTTCTTTCCTCTATAACATTCAGCTTATCTCAGAGAATAACTTCAAAAATGGTATGAGTGTTTCTTCACATACATCATCTTTGTCATATGAACATGACAAAGATTTTCATTGGGTATCTCACTGTAAAGTGATTTTCAGGAGTGTATCATAAACCAACCTAAGTTTGAGAATGGTATGAGTACCTTAAAAGGAAGCAAGAATTAAGTGGCAAGTGGGCAAGGAAGAGGATTGCACTGATGTTGGAAGACATGGACACAAAAGATAAGAGACAAAGAAAAGGGTGGGTTGGTACTCCTACCACCATCTGCACTGCAGCCCCATCAGGAGCATGCTTTTGGGCTCCCAAATGGATCCAAATCAGGTAAGAAGCAGCAGAAAAAGCATAGAAGTAAAGAAAAAAAAAAAAAATCTTATCTTCACCAACAACCTCCCACTTCAAGATGTGTAAGTGTTATACCTTCAAACAACACCACATCACGAAAGATTTGAGTGCCGTTATCTGTCACTAGTCTGTACCACATCTACCAGCTCCAGCGATTACTCTGAACATTACAAACTTGAGCAATTTCAGAAAGCTCTGTCAGCCCTCTGCCAAACAGACCTGCGTACCTCCTATACTGACCAAAGATGATAAATGACATGGGGATGATAAAAGATACTGGCTTAAAGTCCAGTATTGATCATTTCTAATTTGGAAGCAGCCAACAAGTCAAGTCTCAAAAATCCCATTAATCATAAACCAAAATGCCTTTTAAATGGCCCACATTTCAACAGCGTTAGTGCCTACATCCTATAATCAATACAGTTTTAAGGCATAGTCTGAAACAATCCAGTTGCACGTGGGCAATGGCATGGATGCACACGGCTCCTGCGCCTCATGTACTCTCATGGGATAAAAGCATAAGAGCAGGATCTGCTGCAGGCTTTCATACTCCTCTCAAAAACCAGAGCCTAGATGAGTAGAGAACTGAGAAACAGGGATAACTGTGGCTTACAGAATCCAGACTTCTAAAAGATACCTAAAAACAAAACCAAGAAACCAAACCCACATCCTCCAGAAGAAGGCATCTGAACGCTATATCGGGGCGTCTTGCTCAAAGGTGATAACTTATTCCCTCCTACATTCTGAATTCAGAAACCAACTTGCAAATACCTCATTTGAATTACTTTTGTGTATGCACCCACTGACTCACAGTTGCAAATTTAAGAAAGTATTCTTGTCTTTTAGATATTTCATTACAATTTTGCAAATACAATGCCAAAGCATCTGCACGCATGCCAAAGCATCTGCTTATTCCTAGAGACCTACGTACTGGGTCTTGAAAGTGACACACAAGGATTATTTCTCTTCATCACCGACGTGGAACATGAGGTGAAAAGACTCTCATAAGGTCAGTGAGGAGGCTGACCAACGTCCCAGTCCAAGGCTCCCTCTGACACCTTACCCAAGAGTGGCACTAGACTAGCCAACATCTGAGGAGCGTTCTGCTTGATAGTATGATGCAACAAACTTAAGTGGATTATTTCCCAGCATCATCTTTAGAAAACTCGTCTCTGATATATTTCAGGAAAGTACTTGGCCAGGTGACATAAGCTGGAGTATTCAGATCCAAGGCTGCAACAGAACAGCTCATTTTGTATTTTCTACACAATATGCTTTCAAAACTCTCAATTAGGGTGCATACTTCTATCTTTCAAACCACAGAAAGCACTTCCACAGATCATGAGTCTTCACAGAATGCTTTGTCTATATAAAATATATGTATATAGATTTATATAAAATATACGTGCGTATCTATTTTAAAAAAAGGGTCATTTAACAGCTACATGCAAAAACAAAAAGTCATCCATTTTCTGTTCTTGTCTTCCTCTGTCACGTTACCACAAAAGCTTCAACAAGGTCATTCTTCTAAACTATCTGAAGATAAAATGGGATGTGTTTTCAAGACAATCCATATAGCTCAGAATCACAGAACAGTTGAGGCTGGAAGGGACTGCTGGAGATATCTAGTCCAACCTCCTTACTCAAGCAGGGTCAGCTACCACTATCTGCCCGAGACTGTGTTCCGTCAAGTTTTGACTATCTGCAAGGATGGAGACTCCGCAACTTCGCTCAGCAACCTCTCCCAGTGCTCAACCATCCTCACAGTAAAAACGTTTTTTTCCCCTCACATTCACATGGAATTTGCTGTGTTTCAGTTTGTGCCCGTTGCCTTGTATCCTGCCACTGGGCTGAGAAAAGTCTTGCTCCACCTTCTTTAGATCATTCCATCAGATAAACTCCGTATGCATTCTGCAGTTCAGAAAAATTAGAATAGCTTGCACGGAATTCTTGCCTGTCAGACAGCTCCATAAGTACTACAAAAACCAACAAACACATCCTTGGGTCGCATGTCCTATGTGGGTGAATGCCAAGGGCTACTCTTGTCTCACATGAGCAATTATCTAAACGCTTCAGCAAATCTCTATGTTGACCAACAACAAATGGTCACTGAAAGCATCCATTTTACACTTCGCACATGTACCCTGTGTATGAAGCTCACCTAGAAAGGAAAACATTTATGTGTTCACTTTATAGTGAAATACTCCACCACAGGACAGGTGAAGCTTGAAGACCTTAGATTTCTCATACTGATATGCTAAAGAGCCTTACAGCGAAAGGCAGTCTGGAACGCCTATACACCAGCACTTTCACCGATAATGAACAGCAGGAACCACAGCTGCAAAGAGAGATACCTTGTATGAAGATAAGCAGAAGAATTCTGAATATTTTTAACAATTTAGCCAAAGCTAAAAACTAGCAAGTCCATTTCTGTACTAAATGATCACAAGATGACTACAACACGTTAAAGTGGTAAGACAAATGTAATACTCTGATGCAGTCAAAGCATTTCTAGTGGAGAAGAACTGTTGTCCTTTTAAAAGGTTCTAATGAGATTTCATCCAGTATGCCATGCACAATTCAGTCACCTTTGCTCAAATAAAACCGAACAGAGGCAGGGAAGAACAGGAGATGAGGTGTACAGCAGGGAAGCTACAGGAGTTAGCTTGTGCCATACGTTGAGCAAGCCAAAAAGGACATGACTATAAACTCAAATGCAAAACAAGCTGGGAACGTGGGGAGAAATACTATCCAAGACTGGTCTCACATGAGAGGAAGCAGATATAAAATAGCCAGGAATGAAACTGTTCCTGAAATTGTAAGACGCTTACAACCACAGTAAGACTGTTACTGTGGAATTCCTTCAACCAAATAGCATGAATCTACTTTTTTTTTTTTAAGACAGACCCTTCATCAGCCTGTAATTGGAATTATAGGACACACTTGCCTAACCTAGGAATTTCATTCAGTCCTGTGTTCCCATGGGAAAGTAAAATAACATGATGTCATACAAACATACACTCTTTTACTTCTAACTGCACATATCTTTTTAAAAAGCTATGTCTCATTCCTTTCAATTATATTAATTATATTATCTCTGGGCAGGCATTTGATTTCTAGTAACAATTACAGCCTCTCTTTCAGGGAATGGTCCTGTACAAAACCCAGCCCCCCAAAACTGTTTCTCTTCTGGGTCACACTAGCATCGTGGTGCAATTTTTTTTTTTTTTTTTTTAAGGTAAAAGGTGATCTGCCTGTTGTCATGATTTATTTTAATACCTGTCCACAAACTTTAGATATTGCCATATATGAGAAATGTGAATGTTCCTTAAAACAGGAGCTTCACAAAACCTAGAAATGAATGACCTTTTAGGCAGTCGTGACCCACTTCTTGTATTCTCCTCCTGACCAGCACCCAGGAGCACCCAGGATGCTTTTCAGGAGATGAGGCAATGGTCTTGTGGAAATGAGATGTAAATGATCTGGTAAAACTATCAAAGCGAAGCTCTCAGTAAAGAATAAACGACATTATGTCTTCAAATTTCTTACTTACTCATTTCCATGAACAGCTGTCTCTTCTCTGCCATTGTCCTCCTCCTCTTCCCACTCTCCTCAATCATTCTGAAGACAAAAATAGCAAACACTGTTTGTGCTAGAATTTATGTTACAAGAGCAGCTTACTGTGAACAACATTATTTTATCCCTCAACTGAAACAGTTTTGATTATATTTGGTAAATGAAAAGACCAGTAGAAAGACAGACATCTCTTCATAACAATTGTATTCTGTAACAGAGAGATACACTTTAGACTTGTTAATACCTTTCAAAGTGGTGCACAGTACAGGAAACATTAATTCTAAGCATTTTAGTTGCTAATTGAAGTTTGCAAAACTCAGAGCTGCATACATGTATATAGCAGTACCCTGTAAAGAATTCCCTTCTGTTCAAAGAGATTTTGTTTGCAAAATACAAAGCAAGCAAGACCTCTTCACGAGCAGTGGAGCCAATGAAGTGCAGAGCCCTACAGATTTGCATGTTAGAGACTTTGATGTTCAAAAGGAGAAAGCGTATCGCACTCCTTTCCCTGGCTGACAGCGATTAATAACACTCCTCTTCCCTGCCTAGGGTTTTTGTGGGGATGTTGGGTTTGGGGGTGGGGACTGTGTTGCCTTTAAACAAAACTCATAAGAATTCATTTAACTTTGAAACCTGATGCCTGAGGTCAATTCATATTTGCCAGGGAAGTAAAGCTCTTAAATATAATTAAGGTGGAAAGAAAAAGAACATGTATAGCTTGGTCACAAAGGCCTCCCTTTCTTAGGAAAACACATTGAAGAAGCGGCAGCAACACAGTGGAACTTACACCCCAAGGTAAGGAGGCACAGTGACAATTTAGTACCTCTTACGGCTTACTTCACTATGTAGTCCTAAAAGACAGATGCTGAATTTCAGTCAACTCCAGAAAAAAAAAAAAGCAACTTAATTCAGTACCAGTGTAAAATTTCACTTAAAATTACCACCTTATATTATTATTTTGTTACCAGATTCACCAACTCATTAGATATGTTTTTTTTAAATGTCAAAAAAAAAAAAAAAAGGCAAAAATACCAAACAATTATTCTACAATTACACCAGAATCTAACTCTAAGGGAGTTAGTCAGCTCACCCTCATGCAACATGGCAGGACAGATTTCATTAGGCTTAAATGCCAACCAAGGAAAAGAAAGTCGTGTCTTGGCACTTAATACACACACTCTGATTAACAGTTTCCCTCAGCAGTTGTCCATTGCCTGTTAATTATTCTCTGGTGAAGATCTTGCAACACATACTCATCTTGAAAGCCACCAAAATCTTTTTCCTTAACTGTTCATAGAAGGAAAATAAGTGTATGGTGGTGTAAAGTAATCTGCAAACACTTTTTACTTCCTTCTTTTTTCCTACTTTAGAAGACCACAGACTCAGAACCAACGTGCTTCTGTATTTTGGGTTTTTTTTTTTTTAACAGGAAAAAACCTCAATGGCATTTTTGCAGATATGTAAACTTTTTTTTCCCATCTTCCTAAAATAAATTCATTTTATTAAGTTAAATACATATATGCAAACGGAGCGTCTTATCTTCTCAATGAAGGTTCTTCACAATGCATTATCTCAAGCTGTTCTTCACTGAAGATCTGCTTCGGTCTGCAAAGAGCAGGGCACTGGGAAACTTTGCCCGTGTGATTCGTTTTGTTCACCCACAGTTTCCAGCTATTCTCATACCCTGTCCCAAGCTTAAGAGTTTTTGGAACTAATTACTCTTCTCTTTATTTCCTCATCACATAAAACATGCATGTCATCTTGAAGAATGCCAGTTACTGCACCAGTAATCAGCTTTATTTCCAGTGCTAGCGCCTCTCTAAATTCTACAACAGATGGACTCCAAGGGGTAGATTAGTTATTTGATCTTTCAAATTGCTTTTAGTAAAGACTCTTTTATCAAGACATAAGGGACAATACCACTTGAATCTGCTGCAACACACACACAAAAAAAAAAATCATGATAATATTAGATCTTCTTGCCCTTGGGCTTTGGGGGCATGTGTCCCTCATGCCACGCTCCTAACTCCCTGCTTCCAAGCCAATCTCATTTTTCTGCTAAGCTGGGAACCAGTCCCTGGGGAACTTGCCTCACGTCAGAGCGGCAAGACAGAGTGATGCTAGAGATACCATAACCATCATTTCTCCTAGCAATTGCCTACCGGAGCCCATGGATTCCAGCTAAACCCATGAGACGGGCTTCCTAGCGTGCTTTCACAGGAAGCGCAGAGACGGGCTCCCAACCAGCAAGGAAAAGCGTGGGGTGATGCCAGAGGCTCCCATTCAGCACCACCGCTCCAGAGGCTGTGCAGGTAGCGCAGACGGGGCTGAGGAAAGGGAAAGGCTAAAGGCAGAGATGAAGCAGGCTATCAGACTAATACTGTATATTAAGGGCTGCAATTAATTTTGCTGCTGTCTGGTAACGTGTACATTTAAAGTCATGATATTACCATGACATCAATCTCTACTGCCTTGCAGGTGTCAGGATTTGAGTTTTTTAAGAGGTCATCCAAGCTGCATGGACCACGGTCATAGAACACTATCATACATAACTCACGGCCAAATAGCTTAGATTGACCAAGATACACACTTTTAAAATTGTAAAGGAGCTAGCACTACCCTTCATGCTCTCTGCAAAGCAAATGAGTGAATTATCTGTTCAGCAATGTCCTTGAAATGAGATCTGAATAACTAAACTGGTCTCTCCACGATTATGAAGTGCTGCATCAACAAAGCCCGATTAACCCATAACTCAGGAATTATCTTGTAGATTTTTCAGGTATGGTCTCAGGAAAACCATGTCCTGAGGAATGTTGTCTCAGGACCTCCTCCAAGCCTCTTGCCTTTCTTGAAGGGAGCAAAAGATTTGAATTTTTCATTAGATGAACGGCTCAACAATCCTGTACCTGCTCACCAAAAATAATCAAATGGTACTATTTAGATTCACAAGCTCTCCTTGCTGATTCTTTCCTGCTATTACCTGTGAGGGGGCAAACACCTAGGAAATTCTCTTTCTGGGCCACAGTTACACATTCTGAAGACGGACAGTCAGAGAGAAGAGACAAACTGGCAGATATTTGGAAAAGTTGTGGAAATTACATCAGTCATACGAGATCTATTAGAATAATTGACAACCCTGTTTTTAAAGCCATAACAATCAGGTACAGAAGGATCCCTTACTGATGAAGGTGGGAAGAAGAAAGACGGAAAGTCTATATTCACCTTTGCACTTTAAACCTACCTCAAGTTCAAAACAGGAATGAACTAAAACCAGAATAACTGCAATTATGCTAAGGATGCAAATTACAGTGTTCAACATCAGAAAACAAGAGAGGTAAGCTGCAGTTTGTTCTGCATTGTTTTCTTGGTTTGGTTGGTTTTGTTTGTTTGAAGGGGGTGGGGATGTTGGTTTTGGTTTTTTGGTGAGGATTTTTTTGGTGGGTTTTTTTGTTGTTTTGTTTGGCTGGTTGTACATTTTTGGTTTTGGTTTGTTGGAGGTTTTTTAACATTTGTGGCACAATGCATGAGAACAGTGCTAAGAAACATGCATGGATTGAAATGACAAGGCCGACAAAAATTCTCAAGATGGATGCTCACTTTACAACAGACATATGTGGAGAAAAAAAACACTCAAATATATTTATGTACCAACAGAGTGGCAAATGCACTGGGGATTCTCCAGTATCACACTACATGTTTAAACAGGTACTTATGAGGTTTTTTTTAATCCAGTTATGTTCATGTTTAGTGATGAGCTGCTTCTAAACACTTGGTATCTACTTCGTCATTCTTCAAAACCCCGACAGATCGGCAATGCTTGGGATAAGCGGTATACATAGACCGATGCCTGTCTTGGAGAACAGTACTGCATTTCTGTACTCTCTCTTTAGCATATGCTACCATTTTAGTATGTGCTAACTATATAGCATACACTGTGTGATCACTCTATGCTAAAGAAGTCCCAAGCCCATGCCTACGGTAACCAGGCACTATACTGCTACAGAAAGGACAGCAGCAATGTGTATCTAAAAACTGTCAATACTTTACACTGTCAACAGAAGAATGTTCTTATACCTTCACAAAACATCAGCTTTGGACCTAAAGATTTCCATAACAGTAACCCAGATCACGTTGGTTGCACTTGAGTCACAAAAAGAACTCAAGATAAAATGCTAAAGAGGGATTTAGAAGAACCACCACAGTCATGCTTGAAAGCCTTATTATTTTATTGCAAAGTTTTACTAAGAGAATAACAGCACGCTACTGGGCCAAACCCAGCTTGCCAATGCAGCATCATGTCTCCAAGTATACAGTAAAACTTCCCAAGAACTTCCTTTCAAATTCCAGAAGTCTGCAATGCCAAGACCTCCTGAGCCAAAGTGATTCTCCATGTTTATTAACCATCAGCAGCTTCTTCCCCCCCCAAGCCTGTGTGTCTGTCCCTTTACTGCCCATAAACTTTTGACATTCACAAACCTCTGCAGCAG